GACGTCGACGAGAGGGTCAACATATGCCAAGGGGAGGCTGCTCTCCAGGATGCTGAGAAGCCATTTCGTGACATTCTTGGGGAGGTATGCGAATCGGCTACTAACTGGCCGCCATTGCATACCAACAACAAACCAGACGACTCTCATAAGAGTGGGACCAGCCGTTACAAGAGGCTTTGGACCACTAGCTTCAGTAATGACTATTCCAGTTACAATGTGATACAGCCCTTAGCAACCCCGTTGAGTCCATATATGTATAATAGGAGTCTTTTTCTACCAAACCAGCCGTTGACAAGTCTTGGATGCGCTTCCAGATCTGACTTCTCTGCCATGCATTGTCAGAGAGGTGTCGAGGAGGAAAACAGGTTTGCTGCAAGTATTGTTAAGCTGATGATATATTTAAAGAACGACATACTTTATATTTCCCAACTGACTACAAAGGCAAAAGTAGGAAAAATGAGCGAAAACGCAATCTTTGAGGTGGCTGACCAAAGGGGCTGGGATACCTTTCAAGGAAGGAGCAATAAACATCATGCCATCACCACTTGTGCAATAATTCGAAATGAAAATTTCGACCGAGTTCTGCTATGCTATGGTCAGAAGAGTTTAGATGGAATAACAAGACTGCGAGAAAGGATGGCGGGGGAAGGAAACAAAAACTCACTGAAAAGCCGGAGCAAAGGGCGTAAGAAGTTATGGGTTAGGAAGCAACCGAGGAAAGAGTTGGTTGATCTCAGGACTCTCCTCATCCATTGCGCAGAAGCTATGGCAAAAGACAACCACCTGTTGGCCAATGACCTCTTAAAGAAGATAAGACGACACTCCTCAGCAGATGGTGATTGTACTCAGAGACTGGCATTTTACTTGGTGGATGGCCTTGAGGCACGCTTGGCTGGGATCGGGAGTCAGGTTTATCGCAATCTCGTGGAAAGGCGAACAAGTACCACAGATTGGCTAGAGGCTTACAGCCTTTTTCTTGAAGCTTGCCCTTTCAAAAGGGTGTCATACAACTTTGCCAACCAAACTATTCTTGATGTCTCACAAAGGCAACCAAGGGTGCACATCGTCGATTATGGCATCAGCTTCGGCTTTCAGTGGCCATCAATGATTCAGAGGTTTGCACGGCGAGAAGAGGGAGCCCCTAGGCTTCGGATCACAGGTATAGAAGCTCCCCAGCCAGGTTTTCGCTCCTGCCAAATGATCGAGGAGACAGGGAAGCGGTTAGCTGATTATGCAAACATGTTCAAGGTACCATTTCAGTATCAGGGCATTGCCACTTCAAGATGGGAGACCATTAAAATTGAGGATCTTAACATTGAGGAGGATGAAGTTCTCGTAATCAACTGCATATTCCGAATGAAGAATCTTGGTCATGAAACCGAATCCATAAATAGCGCAAGGGATGAGGTGCTGAGAATTATGAGGAGGATGAACCCAAAGGTTTTTATTTCTGGCACCATGAATGGTTTACACAGTTCTCCCTTCTTCATACAACGATTCAAAGAGGTTATGCTCCATTACTCTTCAATGTTTGATATGCTTGATGCAAATGTTCCACGGGATAATGAAGCAAGAGAGATGATTGAGAGGATCATATTTGGGCGGGATGCACTTAACATCATAGCATGCGAGGATGCAGAAAGGACTAGGCCAGAAAGTTACAGGCAGTGGCAAGCAAGGTTTCTCAAGGCTGGGTTCCAGCAGCTTCCTGTCGAGCAAGCTGTCTTAGAGAAAATAGTACACATGCAGAACTCACTTTATCATGAGGAATTTTTTGCTGTTGAAGATCGCGGTTGGCTGCTACAAGGATGGAAAGGGAGAGTACTTTATGCTATATCCAAATGGAAACCTGATGATCAGCAAGACTCGAACAGTTTTTCAAGTGCACAAACATCCATAGGCAACTTACCACCTTTGTAACCACTTGCATGATTCTCAACACAATGGGTCTAAATTGCTGAACACTTTAAGATAGATATTCTTTCGTCAGATAAGCATTGGGAACTAGTATCTTGGAAGATGGGATGGCGATTAATGTTGACATTCAACATGTTTTGATTTGGTCCAACTGCGCAACTACACAATCATATGTAGCAAAATGGCAACTGTACATACTTTCCTTCTGTCGTTCTATTTAATTTCTGAACAAACTGTTCGAGAAAGTTGCTCTATAAGTGAATCTGGTGTCCTTTTAAACGAAAATTAACTATGTGTACTTACTTGGTCATTGCGTTTGGTTCGTGTATTAACTATGTGTACTTACTTGGACATGAGACTAGTGGACACTGGATTTGCTGTTTTCTCAAAACTGATGATATGGAAGATGAGAGGATGGTCATTTCTGATTTGAAGACGGCAATTGTACTCAATGTTCAAGAAAGTGTTCTTAGGCAGCGCTTAATACAGGCGGGAGGAGATAGGGGGATATAAGGCGTGGGCCGGAATTGGCTTGGCGGCTAGGGTAAAAGGGTGGGGAGAGAAGAGAGGCCGAGAGAGTGTTGCGGTGGCGGCTGTCCTTCTTCGATTCGAGCGGCCCCTTTTCTCTGATTCCAGTAGCGGCTGTGGCGATCCTCCTCCTCCTCCTCCTATGTGCTCCTGCAGTTAATTGCTATCTGCCTATGTGCACCTGCTGCTGCTGTTAATTGCTATCTGCCTATGTGCCTATGTGCTCCTGCTGCTGCTGTTACAGTTTGTTGATTCAAATTTTTTTAGGAGTATGGAGTCAGGAAATAATGCTAGTGCTGCTGCAGCAGCAGAAGAGAGAGCAAATTCCTATTTTTCCTTGCATATTATTCAAAAACAGCCTAATTCTGGCCAACTTTAAAAAAATGTACAGTTTTGATCTTTCAGATCATTATGGAAATTTGGAAAATCATACGTACAGTACATAATTTTTTTTCTAAAAAAAAGTTAAGAGGCCGACATTAGGGGGTGAGCTCCTAGTTCCTGGAGGCAGGGACTGCCAAATCACTAGGGCCACAGAGACATGGGGAATAGGAGACGGGGGAGGGAGGGACCTTGGAGGCGGGCGCAGAGGGTGGGGTGGTGGAAGCCGACGTCGGCGAGGGAGCGCGAGGAGAAGAGCCCCTCCGCGTCGTCTTCCTTCGCATTCGCCTCCGCCGGCGGCGACCTGTGGAGCTTCCTCTTGGCGGCCATGGAGGGAGAGGTCGCGGAGATCCGAAGAGAAGGAGAGGGGGGCATTTTCCGCCTTCTGAAAGCGTTTACGCACCTGCTCAGCGCCGTGTCGTGCTTTTATTGGGCCCGGGCCCTGGGCCGTGTCACGAAGATGTCCAGGTTCAAAAAGGAAAAGAGAGCAAAGATGCCCCTACTGTCCACTACGAAGAAGAAAAATATGTTTTTATTTCGAAAAAAGAGAAGGATGACCCTTTAGCCGCAAAAAAAAATGATGACCCTCGGCCTCTGCTTCATGGCGATGCATGAAACTGTTTTATTAATTATTCATCAAGAACTTAAAAGGTAATACATCATATGTCCTTCATATGTACTCCCTCCGTTCCGATTTACTCGTCGTGGTTTTAGTTCAAATTTAGAGAGTATAATAATTGGATGGAAGAGCTCATTGAGAAATTGTTGATACTATCTTGGAAGGAGATGGGATGGAGATTCAAATGTTGATACTCAACATGTTTTGATTTGGTCCAACTGCGCAACTGTAAAATACTTTGCTTCTGCCACTCTTTTAAATTTCTGATCAAACCGTTCTAGAAAGGTGCTCTGTAAGTGAACCTGGTGTTCGTAAACGAATATTAACTGTGTACTTGTTTATTGTTTTGCTACATGAGACTAGTGGAAATACCATACCTAGACACTGGCTTTGCTGTAAAGGAACCTATTGCACTGCCTAACTCTCAAAATTGGTGACATGGAAACTCAGAAAAATAGTCATTTCTGAAATGAAGACAATGATATATAAACAAGGTTCCTATGCACAGACCCATTAGAATACATTAATATCCACAAATTATGTAATATAGGTCATCTGCACAGTTACATAAGTGCAAGACGAATCATAACAAACAACCCTTAATTCTCTCAGAAACCCCTGAAGGGATGTTTACCCGTGTAAGTTCTAGCTACTAGAGTGGGTGATGTTTCATGTGTTTAAAATGAACAATACATAAATATATGGGAAATGCTATTCAAGTTGAAGTTGGTTATATTGTTAAATCTGGTAACACTGTGAGGAGCTTAGATATCTATATAATCTTTAGCGGAATGGCTCTAGGCAGCGCAGATTATTTTCTTGTGTTGGCAGAGCATCGGAGAAAATCTGGGGGATGTAGCTCAAATGGTAGAGCATTTATATGGCTTATAAAAGGCAGGGGGATCGATACCTCCCATCTCCAATTTATTTATGTTGGTTGCGAGATCTTATGGGTTTCACCTCTAGCCTACCCCAACTTGTTTGGGACTAAAGGCTTTGTTGTTGTTGTTGTTGTTGTTGTTTTGTTGGCAGAGCATCGGAGACAATCTGGAAGGAGAGGACATGCCACTTCTACTTTTGCTACAGAAGGAGCATGTGAAGTTGGGTGTTTATAGCCCTAACAAATTTACAATCCAGATTATACTAACCAACGATTTGGTGGGACTATAAATACGCAACATGGATAACCCTAAACGTTGTTTAAACTAGCAAATGGATTAACTTAAAACTAGATCAACCAGAACATCATGACCGCATGACCCCAAGCATGTCCGACCTTTAGTTACAAAATAAACTAACTGCAAATACTAAGTGTGTACATCCAAATTAGGACAGATCAACCAGGTAACAGAAGGGCCATAAACATTTTATGCAGAATCCATTGACCACAAAGAAAAGAGATAAACACAAAATTTACTATGGAATAATAGTGCGTAGAATAAAATGTTGCATTTCCTCAATTAATAAACAGAACACTAACCTGACCCAGTACAAATTCCATATCGCCTAATTAAAGATACTGTCCCATTTCATTGGCCAGAATGATCTTGTCCTCTTAGAAGCGAGTAGCAATTTGTGCAAAAACAGACTTAAAATCTGTCATCGGTGTTCCTTCACCTTCAGGTTTTGAAGCCAGATCAAACGCCTTGAACTTTGCTTCCTCAAATAGCAAGGCCTACTCAGGAAAGGCACAGATGGATCAGTGGTATGACCACTAGCTAGTAAGACATAAATAGATGCAAGAAATATATTTGGTAGATGATGAAAAAAATATTGAGCAGTAGTTTATCTACAGAAACATGTGTTTTGTTCTATAAAGGTACCTGTATGCAAACTTCTGCAACATCTGCCCTGGCAATAGTTTTTGTTTCCGTCTTCAAGATCTCGTCATCCTTTCCAACAATCAACTCACGCACCCCACCATCTTTGTCTTGTAGTCCTCCAGCCCTGGAAAGAGATGGGATATGGGAAAGGTATTTTATCAGCACACGATTGTTGGTGGAAAATACTCCGACGATTAATGTCCCTATGAAATAAATTGGAATTTTTTATTTCTTATACAAAATTAATGTTCTTTGTGGTGCTTCATACTCCATAATGCACTTCTGTTGTTTTGTTGTTTTCTTCATTCATCACATATATAAAATTATTTCTATGACTGTGCATCTTTGGAGAAAACAGTGACTGTCAGCCTATTACATAACTCAAATGTGACAAAAAAAAATCTTTGCAGAACATGGCAAGAATAGCACTACCGAATGAGTCTGTGTTATAACCTTATAATTGTGTATGGTAGACCAGAGTCCGCTAGGTACTGCTCTGCCTTCCGTTTCCACACCTGCAAATTAGAAGAGCAATTGGCCATTCTAAGTTTCAAAATGGTACATATTATATGTTTATGCACACACAAGTATAGGGAATTAGAACATATACAAAAATCGTCGAGCATGCTATATACCAGTATATTCCCATTCCCAAGCTTGTTTAATGGATGGTTGATATCTGTTCCGCCCATGGATCCAACCAAAACTATCTGCTTTACACCAATGCTCTTGGCTGCATGGATAATTAAAGATGGGAAACTTAGAGAGCAGACAAGAAAAAGGTCGACCGGAGAGAAAATGACACATCGATGCTTCACCAATCAATCGTTTCAATGAACATGCTAAACATTGTATAATGCTCTAACAGAACAAGAAGAAGGTGAAGATTTACCAGCATCAATTTGGTTCTTTTGGCCTATCCAATCCACCTTAAATCAAGGGAAAACAGCAAAGGACATTAATTAACTCTAAAAGAAATGCATAAGTTGTCATTGCTAATGTGACTAATGTCATTGCCAAGCGATTTTTGCCGGTTACCTGCTCAGGATCAGACCCTTCCTCAAAGTAAAACTCCGGCCGTCCACCCTTGCTAGGATCGAACCCGGGCTTCATCTTCGGGACCCCACTGGTGAGGATGATGAGCGCGTCGATGCCCTCAATCGCCGGAGCAATGCTCCCAGGATCCCTGATGTCGCCGATGAACACGTCGTCGCCGCCGCCTATCTTACCCTTGCTGTCCGGCGTCCTGACCAGCCCTCTGGCCACAAACTGGTCTGCCCTCTCCTTCAGCTTCTTGTACACAATTTGGCCTGGGTCACCACAGCGCAAGGGTCAGAGGCGCACGCCGGATCACAGCACGTAAACGGCAGTGTAAATTTTAAATCAATAGGAGGTTCCATAGGTTGTGAAGCATCTTGATTCCAAGAAACCGCCGCCTCCGCCGGTAAATTCTCCCACAAATGCAAACTGAATCCCATTGGAACAGCAAGAGAAGGCGGCATCGTGCAACAATGTGCGGCTACAGGACGCGAAGGTAAAGAAGCTAGCGGGATGTGTAGTATCTACCTGTCCGTCCTCCGGCGCCGGTGACGAGCACGGTGGGGGGCGACCCGGCGGCGGCCGCCGAGACGGCCAGCCCGGCCCGCCTGGGGCCCCGCATCGACGGGACGACGCGGTGGCAGGGAGGACGGAGAGGCGGGGCCCTGAACGGGGAAGACAGACGCATCGTCGCCGCCGCCGCCGCCGCCGTGGCCATATTTGCTCCGTCCCCCTCCGGCGAGTGAAGCGAGAGTTGTTGTCGGGTGTGCCGGCGGGCTGAGCGGCTGTCACTCTCCTTATCGCTTCGACGGTGGGCCCGCGTGTGAATGTGGGCTTCACAGGGATTTCAGGTTTGTGGGCCTAGGCCCACTTCCCAAGTTAACATGGGCCTATTTTCTTCGAAAAGTATACTTAGCCCAACCTACAGGCATGGTCCATATACAAATTTGGATCACCAAATCTTTGCGTCACAATGGCAGTTCAAATTTCATCTTCCCCACAGCAGTCAACCCTAGTTATGCGCATAAAATTGTCTCAAAAAAAATGTTATGCGCATAAAACCTACTTCCTCGGAAATGTCGGCACAAAGTGTTCACACTTTCGGCTTAGTGTGCGCATTTCCTTTTTAAATGCAAGTTTTAGGCTCCACTCCCCTTGAAACTACTTTCTGTTGTAGCTTGTTTTTTTAAGTGTTCAAACTAGCTGGGAGGCTCCACTTCCCTTGAAACTACCATCATGAGTAACATGCCTTCTTTTTTTGGCCGACAATTAATAATGGAAACTCGGGTTGGATGCTATTTCAAACATTCTCCATATTCCCCCCCTTTTTCTTATCGCCTCCTTGTTTTCCACCTCCTCCAACTATATATATATGGCGTGTGTGTTGTTGTCGCGCACATCTACCACCCTCCCTTCTCCTCCTACAATTACATTTTTTCATTGCATGCAAACCTAGCCTTGGTTCCACATAGGATATAGTCAAACAAAACATTCTCGAGGCAAACCTTACCCTTTTTCCGGCGGAGATAACCTATATACCGCCTTCTGACGCTTATGGCTAGGAGGCGACGGCATCTAAGGCGACGGGGAGGAGGAGGAGGAGGAGGAGGAGCAAGACCGTGGTGGGGAGGGACAATGCCATTGCCATCGCCGGTGATCCGAGGAAGAGGAGTGATGACTGAGATGAGAATTAATATCCTTCGGTTGGACTACTCAACATACTACTACTACATTACATTTTTTTAATTGACGAACATTTTTTAAATTGACGAGGATTTTTTACAAATTTGTGTACATTTCTAGGAATTGTGAACATCTTTTAAGCCTGTGAATATTTGTTTTGAATCAGCGAAACACTTTTAAAAATTGGGGGAATTAATTTTGTAATTCATGAACATTTTTTTATTTGAATGAGCATTTTTGAATCGAGGATCATTTTTGTAATGAATGGACATTTTTTAAATTTTGTGAAGCCTTTTTAAAATACATGAAAAATTTTAAACTTTGCAGAAAATTTCTCAATTCCATAACATTTTCTGAATACGCCAACATTTTCTGAATATGTGAATATTTTTTTGTAAAATCACAAACATTTTTTGATTCCGCGAACATTTTTTTCAAAATGCACAGTTTTTTCAAATTACTTTTATGACTGTGCGTCTTTGGAGAAAACAGTGACTGTCAGCCTATTACATAACTCAAATGTGACAAAAAAAATTCTTTGCAGAACATGGCAAGAATAAGTCTCATACCACAAATAGCACTACCGAATGAGTCTGTGTTATAACCTTATAATTGTGTATGGTAGACCAGAGTTCACAATAACATGCGGGGTATCATCTAGTATCTTTAAATTCAGTATGCTCCCTAATTTCGGAGCTCTCTCACGTGATTTTTGTTTATCGAGGATTTTTCTGCTGTCGCCACCACTTGTTTCGCGATGATCCAATCCGGAGACCTTTTTCCGGTACTTTCCTGGAGGGATAAATCATCGCCGGATGCATCTCCAGCAACCTCGTTGCCACCATGACCATGTGTGAATAGTCCTCTTTGAACTATGGGTCCATAACAGTAGCTAGTTGGCATCTTCTCTCCCTTGCTTTTCCTTCTCTCCCTTGCTTTTCAATCAATGGTCACATGCGCTGCTCTACATGATTGTGTTCCATCTGATGTAATTCTCGGTGTGTTTGTTTCCGTGTGATGAATTGCCCCTTTATGATCAGATCCATATATGGTTTTTGTTGTAATCTTTCGGTTTCTTTGTTGCATGATTTATAGATATATATGTTTGTCGGTTATATTTCATGAGTTGCCGTTTCCTTTCTAACACCCTAGTATTCGTCACAGTTCATTGGATGACAAGTGCAGACATGCGAATGCCCTCACCAAAAGCCTGATAAAATTCCTTTGGGGGAGGGGGTCAGAACAGGTTGTAAATGATTCAGATGGTGAGGTGAGCATGCAAGCATAGGGTGGTTGACCTTACCCATCACTTTTTGGCGCTTCCGCTGTGCCACATTTTATGGAATATTCCTTGGATATGGCTATCCTGAACTACACAAATTTTAAAATCAAACACATGGCAACCACTTAAAAAGTGGCTATCCTTAGCCACACAACCAAACACACCCTTAATTATGCAAATGCATTACAACAATGCTACATTTAGAGTCAATAAAAGCCCCTTCAATAATATACTGCTCGATGAATATGAGTAATACAATAGGCTACACCAAAGTTGCTAGGTCAATATCCTGCCTACGGGATAACATGACAATAAAAAATGTTCAATCCTTTGAAAAATATGAGAAGTTTTTGCTTTTCTCTTCTTCGGCGGTGCAAACTTTTGATCGCAATTTTCACTTCTAGGCCGGTATACTGAGCCCTTGCCCAATTTTTGGTTGACAATTAATTCTCTGAACTTAGGTTGGACGCTATTTCGAACATTCTCCCCCTTTCTTGTCGCGTCCTTGTTTTCCACTTACTCCAACTATATATATTTGTCGTGTGTTGTTGTTGTCGTGCGCATCTACCACACCCTCTCCCTTCTCCTCCTACCATTGCAGTTCTTTTCGACTTGCGTGCGAGCCAAGCATTGGCTCCACACAGGAGATAGTCGACAAACGCCACCAAATAAGACACGACTCCACCCACACGGTACACATACCCTCCATCGTTGTCGACGTGAAAGAAGGACAAGAGAGGGCACCCACAGCTTGAAGCAGTGTGTTTTTTCTTTTTTCTCAACATGGAACTTTTGGCTTGGGGATTTAATAGAAGTTTCATCGTTCTGAATTTGATTAAGTAAAAGCCTGGTTTTCGACTGTTGAAAGTTGGATTGGTGTAGATGAAATCATGCATCGGCCAGAAAGTGTTTCCTGGTTGTAGCTTTTTTTTCTTCGGTGGTAGCTATTTTCACACGCATTATTTCTAGCCAACAAAACTCAAAATGGTAGTACAGGTACCATCACAAGGAGCTGCGATAACAACACATAGTTCGAGCGGGGTGAGCGCTGAGCATGAGGCAGCTACCTGCATGGTTTGGCAGGAGGTGCGGCCGCGGCATGGTTCGCATCGTCTGGCGTCTCGAGCTCCGGCTTCGTCCCCTCGGCCCATCCCTGCGTGGCTCCATGGTCGATCCTGCAGGTGTCTTGTTACTGGACACCGTGCAGCGAAGTGCAGGGATCCCTTTCGGTGCTCTCACTGCCTCGGGAACGGCCATCGGGCCCGTGAGTGTCGGAACGCTTGGCGTCCCCTCAGCTTGCTCGATAACCCTACTGCTTCGTCATTGTCCCGCCTCGACACCATTCATCATCTTCATCCACCTTCATGTCAAGCCCAATCTAATGCCACGCTTCCCTCCAAGGCGATCCAACGTGACTCCTGAGCGTCGGTTGTTTCTTCTTCTGCTGGTTCTACAGCCTCAGCTGAGGTGGCACTTCAGTCTGTCTTTACTGCACAAGCCGAGCTGCTACGCTCTGAGCTGCAAGGCATGGCTTCCTTGCAGATGGTGAAGGCGATTCAGCCTCTGAGTGATGTGGTTGATTCAATGCATGGATGGCTGTTGCGGGCTGGGAGCCTTCTGGAGCGTGCAGAGGTTGCTCTGGGCAGGCTATCTCCTGCGACGGCCGAGGCGCCACTCCCTCCTATGTCGCCTCCTTTGCCAAAGCTTGTCGTTGACTTCGAGGGCGACAAAGATGTGGATCTCTATGGCTGCTTCTCCCCTCGTGGTTTGGGCTTCTCGCCCCGTGTTGGGTCCAGTTCGACGCCCCAAGTGTTGCCGGACTTCGAGGGTGTGGCCTCCGTCGAGGTAGTGCCTCCGGTGTTGCAGATCATGCCCGAGCTGCAGATGTTGAGTGGGGAACTTGTTTCACCTTTGTCGATGGAGCAACTCAAGTTGGACTCTCCCCAGGCTTCGGAGGTGGACTTGGTGTCCTCACCACCCCCCATGGAGCCTTGTAAGGCGTCAAACAGCCTACCTCTCGACGTCATGGAGAGCGGAGTTTTAGATTTACAGGGCCAGATTGGCTGCAATTGCTACTACTAGCAAACCCCAAGGAAGTCAGGTGCAAGATTTTGTTAATGATGTGGCAGGCATGGAATCTGAGGAATAATGTAGTACATGGGGATGGAAAGGATACAGTTACAGGATCAGTGCAGTATCTTACGAGGTTACAAGATGAATTGCTGGTAACTGCATGTGGTCTAAGGGAGCATTCTGACAACGGCAAAGTGTCACTACACCCTGCTAATCCGGAAGCGACAGCCCCCATTCCTCCTAGTCATTGGATAGCTCCCCCGCTAGGAATGGCCAAGGTGAATTCTGATGCGGCTTTCATAGGAGAGACGGGAGACACATGGGGTGGCGCTGTGGCCAGAGATCACTTGGGACGTGTTTTCATGTCCATTGGAAGGCGCCTGAACCGGTGCAGTTCAGTGGAGGAAGCAGAAGGGGCTGCAGCGCTGCTAGGCTTGACTGAATTTGCGAAACGTTTCAGAGGTCAGGTAATACTAGAGACTGACTGCATGTGTTTCGGCCGAGAGCTGCAGGGGGGCATGCAAAGCAGGTCTGCTTACTGTGCCACTCTTGCGGATGTGAAGGAGAAGCTCTCTTTGTTCTCCTGCTCGGGAATAAGTATTGTAAGCAGGAGCAAAAATAAGCTGGCGCACGAGCTCGCGGCCGTCGCGAGAAGATCAGGTGATTTTATTATGGTCGCCGACGTCCCAGTTGACGCTAAACATGTAATGAGAGACGAAAGTGTTCTTACCATGGCCTAAGTTGTATTCATGGTTCTCAAAAAAAAAAAACTGTATATATTTGTCGTGTGTGTTGTTGTTGTTGTCATGTGCATCTACCATCCTCTCCCTTCTCCTCCTACCATTGCAGTTCTTTTCTCCTTGCGTGCGAGCCAAGCATTGGCTCCACATAGGAGATAGTCGACAAGCGCCACCAAATAAGACACGACTCCACCCACACGGCCGGCGTGATAGGAGGACAAGAGAGGGCACCCACAGTTTGAAGCATGTATTGGTTCTTTTTTTCTCAGCATGGAATTTTTGGCTTGGAGATTTAATTCTGAGTTTGAGTAATTAAAAGCCCGGATTTCCATTGTTGAAAGTTTGGATTGGTATAGATGAAATCATGCCTTCAACCAGAAAGTGTGTCTTGCGGCCAAGAAAACTGAAATGGTATTTTTCTTTTTCACCATCGTCGTCGCTGAAAAAGGAAGGGAAGGAGGCCCAGATCCAGTCCTCCAGATTCTCCATTAGAGCAGAGCAGAGATGGGAGGAAAGCCATGTACTCCCAAATTTTACATGGGTGGTTTGAAAACACGAAGGAAGACCGTTACGATTCACTTTGGTTCCCGCCTTCGGGCTTTGTCTTGCCCGCATGCATGCAGAAGCCAACAACAAACAGCTACCAGCAGTATACTTACTGACTAGAAAACGATCGAGGTCAGTTACTTGCGGGTCTCCCGGCAGTCCGTCCAAGCTCGACCTCCGATGGCGAGCGTACGCTGGCGGCTGGCCAGTGGAATCAGTACCGGACGCGCGCGGACCCCACGATCCCCGTCGCCGCCCGCCACGACATCGGCCGCCGGCGAGGGGCGCGCGCGCTCCGCGACCTCTTGGTGGGGCGCCCACGCCCACGATAAGATCGACAGGGTGAGAGAAGCAAGCCACTGCATTCACTCCCATTCATGCACCACTCTCCTCTCCTCTATATACATCCATCTCCAGTTGTCCATCTCGCCAGTAAATATACATCGCTCCAAGAAGATAGGAGGAGGAGGATGGAGGCGGCGAGGTCGTCCTCCGCCGAGACGACGACGGCGTCGACGGGCGCCATCGCCGGCCGTCGGCTGCTCGTGAGGAGCTACTCCGCCGGAAGCAGCAGCAGCGGCCGCGTGAGGGCGCGGGTGGTGCGGCTGAGGAGGAGGGCCAGGGAGCACCGGGCGCCGCTGCCTCCACATGCTCCTCTGCTGGCGCGACGACACCTGATGCCATCCGGCCTCGTCGTCCGTCCAATCTCCATCGCCATTTCCATACAGCTCGGCCAGCTAAGTAAGCTCGCTCGCTCGGTAGCTCCGCGGGTCACTCCGTTTGATTAGTTCTCCTCCCTGCTGTTAATTCTCTGTACAATTAGCAACCCCGGCGGCCTGTTGATCGACCGAGCTTATGAATAACACCCGAGACAATGTTGTTGACTTGTTGTGTTCTTCGTTTCGTTTTGTTTTGTAATTTGGTCACTGCTGACACCGTTGGTGGTTTCTACATTACCACATTTTCTTCGTCACTTAATAGTAGTATGAATGTATGATACACCGCGTACTTAAATGTGTAATTGGTAGTGAAATTCGTGCGATTATCGCATCTTTCGATCCATCGTATGCCTTGCTCGTTAGTCTCGTGTTGTGGAGACGTGTGGAATTGTTCGGTCAAATTTCATCTGCATTATGGCTGTATGCATCGTCCCCATGCAAAGGCGTGGGTTACCCTCTTTTTCAAAAAAGAAAAAAAACTCGTGTGCATGCATTCAATGAGTTGCTAAAACGGATAAATTCGACATTATGAGATTGTTCAGAATTCTGAGATTACAGAAGGGTACAGAGTATTGCTGTTTGTAAGTTTCCAAAGATTAGCTGGACCGACCTTGCAAGTTGAAGGGATGACCGCTGAGTTGGCAATGATAAAAGAATGACAGCTGATTCATGGTCAGCCACACAGCTAGGAGTGAGTTTTCCCTGCATTCAATTCCGGCATGAGATTTTTCCATTCCAGGCAGGAGCCTTTCCTCTGCAATAAATTTCCTTTTTGGAAATATTCTCAAATTTCAACCAATATGTAGAGGCTTCCATTTTTGACTTCCAACTAAGATAACTTTCAACACATTTTTCACCTAGTACTATTTGTTTTATCCCAAGTGGTTACTTCCCGGTATGGGGTAGGTACCTTTCGTCCCCAAGTAATATTCTCAAATTTCAACCAAAATGTAGACAACTTCCATTTTCAACATTCAAGTAACAAAAAATTCAACATATTTCCGCAGTATCGTTCAATTCCAACATGCTTTCCTTTTTCATTTCGGGCAGGTGCATTTCCTCCCCAATATTTCCTTTCTAGCAATAGTATTTTGAAATTTCAACCAAAATGTAGACACGTTTCATTTTTCGACTTCACTACAGAAAAATCACACGCTGTCGAGTATCTCAAAGTAAGCCGAGTGTCAAAACACGGGTACTCAGCTTAAATCGTGTAAGCAGAGAATGGTTCCAGGTACACACAGTAAAAATAACACAATTGACTTACATAGGTGTAAGCCGAGTGTCCGTTGAAAAAGATCTCGGCTTGCACAACATGCTAGGCACAAATTTAAAAAGCACTCGACTTAGATAGGTCTCTCGACAACGTTCGCCGCCACGTGGCCGCCGTCGGTGCACTTAACGGCTAGCGTACCGACCGTTGGTATAAGTCGATTATATAACCCCCACCCCCGCCAGCCCCTTTGGTTCACATCTAACCTGCGCCGCCCTCCACCCTGAAAGTCTCGCCGCCAGTGCCCTCTTCCAGTACGCGCCAGCCGACGCCGCCCTCTTCACCTCTCCCACTTCGCCGTCGGCCTTCATCTCCCCTCCGCGCCGCCAGTCTTCGTTCCCATCTCCCGTCGTCGTCAGGCACTGAGGTGAGCTCGATCTCTGTAACTTTGATATATGCATGTATGTATGTGGATTATGATAATTAAATTGCATATGCGTATGTGTCGAGGCAAAATATTTGGATCCATATAGCTAGACTGAAATTTGATATGGATAGATCGATTTTATGAATATGTTTCTGGCAAAAAAAGATTGAATATATATTATTAATATGACGATATAGATGTGAACGAATGGTATGGATGATATATGCACTACTGTAGGAATGCCTAGCAGTGGTGGGCGCAAAAAGGCCAGTAGTGGCGGGCTAGGCTCCCAGGGGCGCCCGCGAACGACCTCCCACCACTGCTATAACCGCATCAGTGGCGGGCGCCCGCCCGCCCGCCCGCCCGCCCGCCCGCTAATGATCATGTACTAGCTGTGGCAGGCAGCAGATTGTGCCCGCCGCTATTATGATTCTTACCTATGGAGGGTGTCGCATCGCGCCCGCCATAGTTGTATTATGCCAGCGGAAAATAAAAAAAACTGTCATGGCAATGTTTTATGTGCCATTGCAACCTTTTCCAGTTTAGCAATAATATGAGTACCCTAAAGACATAAATAGCACACTTCAAATAAGGTTAATATTTAATACATACACAATACAATACAATAAGTGCATACAACATATGTATACAACACCCGAATCACCATATATTATGGTGACTACGGGACATCGTACCACAAATAGATTTTGCTCTCGATATCCGGCTCCTCAGACTCGTCAAGTAGTATGAAGGCCTTCTCAGCTTGCATTCCTAACTCCGTGGCAGTTTGAACCCAATTTGGACCATGGAAATACGTTGTGTCAACTGAACTGTTCCGTACACATCGATGGGCAAGGGGACCACACACATAAACTCGGCCCTTCCCCAACAAGGGATACGCTGAGCATGATAGACAGAAAAAAGATATTAGACAATTGTGGGCACATGCAACATTATGAAATGACAAGCTATAACACAAATTGAATGAAACATACCGCTCACTTCATAAAGTCATCATGAATATCTACACAGATTTCTTTGCAAGTGACCTCAACCTTGTAACATGCACCTAGCCTCGGGTTGCCACACCAGGGGCATGCTTCGTTCATCGCCTATCATTTTTAGTTAATATATGTTAACCACATAATCCATTTTTAGTAAATACTATATGTTAAAACACAAACTTTTTAGCCCCAAACTGTCTCACTACAAATAGAATGAACTAATAGCTACAAACATTCTCACTTAATTAAATAGCAGATAGCCTACTGTCCCCACACCAGGGGCATGGATGCTTCGTTCATTGCGGAGACATCCGTATGACAAGTAAATGGTAAACCACACAACCTATTTTCATTAGAACCACACATAATCCTATATGCCTAATTATAAATAGAGGCAACAAAGCTACGCATAGTGAGACGTAACATTGTATCACACAAATTGGTTGCTTGCTTTCTATCAAGAAAAATTCACGAGTACTCCAAGATAATATATTTACTTTATATTTTGTATGTACTAAACTAATATTCGATTTGTTCTAACAAAGTTGAATGTAACTATTTCAGATTTAAATGGCTAACATCTGTGATATTTGTGGTACTGGTGTAATACCGTGCACCTTAGATCATGAACAAGTGGCACAATTCTGGGCGATAATTCCAGAAAGTCATCGTTATGGGATTGTGAGTCAACATTTTTTGGTTTGCTATGTGATATGTAACTGTATTATATATGAAATTGAGGTGTAACTAACTACTTACACTAATTATGTATAGGATGTACCTTGCCGAGGCGTTAAGCAATTTAGGTACTACATCGAGCAACACTATTTCACAGCCGAGACTTCCCATAGATCAAGCTACAGGATGTGTGCAAGAGATAATGGAGATAGAATTCGTATAGGTGGCATTGGATGGGATTGCTTTTGCTACGACTACGATATAAGAAGAGGAGACACGATACATTTTCGCTACAACTGTAGAGATTTTGTGATGTATATGTCCCCAATACATCCAAATGGTGAACCAAAGGATATAACTAGTAAGTACATATTGTTTTATATTAGTTATTTTTAGTAATATTTTTATACTTA